TTAATGGGAAGTTGGCCTTTATCTCAAGGGGTGTTGAATATAAAGGAAAGGAAATGATGCTTCAACGATATAGAGCCTTGGTCAGACCCCATCTGTTGTTCTGCCTTCAGTTTTGGGCACTGCACCTCAGGAAGGACATATTGTCTCTGGAGGGAGTGCAACACAGATTCATCAGAATGATACCATGGCTAAAAGGGTTAAGTTATGAGGACAGGTTGCATAAAATTGGTCTGTATTTCCTTGAGTTTAAAAGGTTGAGGGGGATCTGATTGAAGTTTTCAAAAAAATAAAGGGATTTCAAAGGGAAACTATTTCCTCTGGTGGGGAATCCAGAACAAGGGAGCATAATCTTAAAATTAGAGCTAAGCCTTTTAGGAGTGAAATTAGGATGCAGTTTTTCACCCAAAGGGTATAGGAAATCTGGAACTTTCTTCCCCAAAAGGCTGTGGATGCTGGATCCATTCACGTTTTCAAGACAGAGGTGGATAAATATTTTTTAAGTCAGGGTATTAAGGATATGGGGCAAGGGGGGGTAATTGGAATTGAGGTAGAGATCAGCCATGATCTAATAGAATGCGTAACAGTCTTGAGAGGCTGAATAGCCTACTTTTTCTAAATTACAGAAAGGAGTTCCTGTGACTCTATTGTACTTAGAGGAGGAGAGAGCTTTTTTGATTTGACAGCAACCCCAGTCACTTGACCATGAGAAGTTCACAGTGAGACTACAATGATCTCTTCTGGTTCTGTATGTTCTTACAGTAAAATAGACTGTGGACAGCCACTAGCTATTTAAATTTACACGTGAATAAGGGCGGTGAAGTCAGGATGCTGAGGGCTGTTTGTCCCAAGGAACTGTAATGAATTTGGATAGACTGGGTTGTGAAACTGTAACAAAAAACAGATTTCAGCCTTTCATCATCCTACACAGTTGCGAAGGTCTTTTGGGACTAAAACCTCCTGATTCAAATAGAAATCAGGTGACATGTTGTGGAGGGATCATGCCTAAATAATAATCAAGACCCTGTAATTTGTTACACATATACATTAGTACAGATAAAGCTGTACAATGCACAATAAAAATCTTTTAACATTAGCCTCACAGTAAACACAATCCCGTTCTAATGCAGGATTTTAACAGGATTCCTTAACATGTAGATCGGAAGTAGATTGCACTGAAGTAGAGTTACTGTGGGTTGGAATGACATAGTTACCCAGAGTGGTCCCCATTTGTGTAACCTTATTAATAAATCGTGCAGGAATTCTGGGTTTTATACCCCGATGTGTGGTGGCAAATTTAATCCTAAAATTGTTAAACTAGTTACGTGACAGTAATACTGTTGTTAACCCTTTCAGAACATACATCAACCATAGAATTTCTAGGATACCAAGGGCAAATTGTTTCTCAACAAAGTTGGAATAATAACATCACATTCTCGAGTCAGGCACTGTGGGATTCATTGCATCTCAAGCATATCTGCACTGACAGCCCTCATCACTACTAAAATCACGAAGATTGAATAAAACTACCTGATAAAATGATGTATTGTTACAGATACCCAGGAGTGATCACAAGGTAATAATCCAATCTCGGGGTTCAAATGGAAGTTATAAACTGCTTGAACTTTTCTGTCATGTCTCATGAGCACATTGGACCCTCTGATAAGATTACTGCCTTGTAATCACTTCCAGGGATCCATTATTCTTTACGTAAACTGAGAGCAAAAGAAGCATTCTTATGAGGATGCTGTGTGCTGTCTCAGTGGTAATTCTTACAAGATATCAGGTTCTGTCAAACCACATGAGACATCAGAAATAGAATACGTAGGAAATGGAAGAGTGCGGGTCCACTATGTGGGATCGTTACACTGTTGCAAGGTTTGGTGTAAGCATTGATGAGACAGAACCATTGCTAAAAAATTTATGAAACATATTGAGGTATTTGATACTTGACACCTTGTACAGCACAAGTGTCGGCTTGACTTAGATGGTAACTCTCTCATTTCTGCATCAGAAGATTGTGTGTTCAAATACCATGTCAACTATGGTAAGTCAATTTAATATTAAGTGGAGATGATTAAACCTTTGCCGTATCAAGTCAGTACATTTACCAACAAGCGAAGAATAATATTCACTCACTGCCAAAGATTGGTAAATCTATCAAATGGGGTGCAGAATAACACCCTTAACATCTGTCTTTGCATTTTCCACAATAACTGATGTATGTACCTCAGTTTAGTGTCAGCTTTGCTCAGTTGGCAACAGTGGATCGGAAGGCTGTGGGTTCAAACCCCACATTATGGCTTGAGTTCAAACAAAAGATTGTGTTTATATACATTGCGTGATGTAGCTCAGTGGTTAGAGCACTCCCTTTGCAAGTGAGAGACCTGGGTTCGAGCAAGTTTCTTTACTCCACACGCCTCTGTTTACCTAGCAGTAAGTAGGAACCTGGTTGTTAGTCGATTGGCGGACTGCTTTTCCGGGGATAATAATTCCTTTAAATAAATTTGGTCAATCAATCCACGACTGTTTGTGGAACACTGCTGTGCTCAATTGGCTGCTGCGTTTCGCCCACAAATACACAGTCAATTCACTTTACAGTATATTCTGTGAAGCGCTTTGAGACGTCTCGAAGATGTGATGAGGCGTTATATCAAATGTAAGGATTATTAGTATTATTACTACTGTTCTTTATGCAGGATCGTGTCTCACAGTGCTGATAGACTACACTGTTGGATGTGCCGAGATACCATCTAACTGCAAAGATCAAAATTACACTATTTCAAAAAGAGAAGAGTCCTTCTCCCGCTAAGCTGGTCAACAATCCTCCAGATGAATTGTTCATTCAACATAGCTGTTTGTGGGATTTTGCTGGTGCAAATTGGATGCTGCATTTGCCTACAGAATCAGACCCCCTGCATTTGACTAATTACTTGAGAATCGCTTCACATGCTATGAAAAAATGCAAATTCTTTCTGTTTTGCAAATCAGTGGTAGTCTAACCTGTGACTCTTCTTTTTAAAAGGGAACAAAACCTAGTGAAAAAGTTGTCATTAACAATAATTCCCTCAGTGTAGGATTGTGATGGGAGTGACAACACAGCGATACCTGGTTCCTCAACCTTCTCCTAAAACAGAAGGTACATTCAACATTGTTTTTCATGAGGGATTATCACATCACTGCCCCTGAGGTTGTTGCCTTTGGCTTGCAGAGTCCCTTCTGTGGGCCACAACAAGGCTTTCATTACTCAGGTAAGGAAACAAAGTGTTGAGGACAGCAGGGTCATTCATAGACACATTTATCAAACTGTAGCAGTGTTAGGGTTCATTTACTTATGTCATCATTTTCTCAAGGTCAGGAAGGATTGAGGTTAATGTTCCATATGTACTTAGATATATTTCTCCTTTTGGGAGAAGAGAATGACACATTCCTGTAAGACCTAGGATAATTATATTTAACCTCTTATTCTTAACATTAAACTCACTCCTATGGTCTGAAATTCAAATGCATTCATCTCAAATGTGAGATTCTTTCAAAGACTAAAAAATTTCATGCTGTCAGGATTAAAATGATCATCAGAAATGTAAAGTAGCCATTTAAAATGAAAGTAGTGCTTGATACATGAGTTAGTTCTCATTTAATTTTCAGTCATGCTGAAAAATTCTAACCCTACAGTTTCGCATATTAACCCTGAGAACGCTTCAAAGAACCGTTTTTCTTGATAAATATTTTGAGAGAAGAAACCAAGTGGGTAAATTGCTCTTTGATGAATAGTATTTAGTCAATAAATTGAAGCATGGAAAGTCAACAGATTTAAATTCCTTTCTGGAGGTTTCTCAAGTCCCCGGTGCTGCTGTGTGCTGTCAATGTGGAAGCAATCATTTGTTTTCTAGATTCACAGATGGATGTACAATTAAATTCTGTGATAATATTCAGTCCTTCTTGCTCCTGATCTGAGTAAAAAAGATATATATATATAAGGGACAACATGATAAATGACCAGAAAGGTACGGGAGATCATTTGACTAATTGAGCAATTTCTGTCAGGCACCCAAAAGGTTACTGCTTCTGGTATCATAGAAGAGGGACATTGCAAGATGTAATGTGGTAATTGTCACATGGACAGTAAATGTGATTTAAAAAAACTGTCCTTAAAATCCATCCTTAAAGTCCGGTTTGAGACTAAACATCACACAACTCTGGCCCCTGATCCTCACCAACCNTTTTTTTTCATGAGGATCTCCAGAAATCAACAACAACCTGCATTTATATAGCGCTCTTCACACGGGGCAGTGTCTTGGAACGCTTAGCTCCAGGAGTGGGGAGAAGAAGGGGGAAAACCATGAATTCTGTTATGGGTTTCTGTATGAATCAGACACCTGGATGACCAAAAAACACCCTAGCCCTCTGTATCTCTCTTTGCTGTCCTCCTTCCAGATGCTTTGATACATACCTTGAGGACCTTGTGATTTGGTTTTGAAAAACTATCCGTACACTGTTTTTATATCTTAAAATGCTACCACGCCACACCCTCTATGGCCTAAGCACGATGGTATAAGTTTGAGGGCATTGCTGATCTAAAACTATTTTGGGGTCTAAACGCAGCATTTCAATAGCATGGATCAGGAAGCTGAATAACTAAAGTGAATTTCCTCTAGTTATTTCCTTTAATAATGATTTGTTGATTATATGTCTGTGTGTGTGAAGAAATTAGCTTCATGAAGGAATGATGGCAGCTGTGGGGAGAGGAGAGGCAAACTGTGACAATTTGCCTTGTCCATTTACCCCAATGATTATAAGGATCAAGTTTGCGGAATTCAGCAGCGGCGTTCTGTGTGGTAATCGCCACAAGGAATGGGATGTTGGGCGTGGCAAATGTCTCCACATTCCGCCATATGAATGATGGCATCTGATTTTTGCAGCATCTACTTATTAAAAAATGAATAAACATTTCAATCCAACGTGCATCACAAAAAGAACTCTCCTTTGGTAGAAAAACTTACATTTCAGCTCAAGTCTTATAAAATCTGTGTTGCCCAGGTTTTCGAGGAAGACACCGTAAGGAGCTGAGGTTTTGAAGTAAAAGGAGATGTCAGCACTAGTTTCTCCATGGAAAGTTGAGAAGTGCAGGTAGGAGGATGGTGTGTTGAATGAAGCAGCATTCCAGTAGTTTCCTGAGGGAGAGAGAAGAGACAAATCACAGCTGGCTGATTCGACAAGTTGGTTCCTGTTGCCGTGAATAATAAGCACAGTAATAGAACAGCTGGTGCACTGATAAAATGTCAAAGCTTTCTGAAATCTCATCAGTTATCATACAAAAAGAAACAGGAAAAATTAACCTAGCACTTAGTCATTAATCTCTAACAAGAGCTGGGGAGGCACACAGCCCTCAATGAGGAGAGCTGTCACTTACAGGAAACAAGCAGTGACTTATTTGTTAGATACCGGGCTTAGTTCATGACTGAATATTTCAAGGCTTTGGTTATAGGTAAGCCCTTTGGCAGGTGGCTTAGTCACAGACACGATTCCAGTTCATTTAAGCATTAACAAGTGATGAGTCGAGCTGTTATTATGCCATTAGCACATCAGGATTTGTGCAGAATCAAGGAAAAGCGTGATTTAAATTCATCATTTACGTGGAGCTGCAACATTGGAAAAGCTTTGGATTTCAAGGGAAGCTTTGTGACCGTTTCAATAAACCTGGCTGGGGAGAAGGCATGGAGACTACAAGTCAAATTATTGCAAGCTCTTCAGCTCTGAAAACCGTGGTAATCATCACCTGGATTGTGGAAAGAGCAGAGGGAATACAAGCTCACTAGATATCTATTGTATCGCATTAGGCAGGATATCTGTTACAATTAAATTAATTATTTAAATGCCTGGCATATCTAGATTTAACGCTTAACTTTCTCAATCCTGTTAAAATGCCGTTCATAATTGAACCAAAGCAAAGTTATCTGTGCACACTGAGGTATCCTCTAGGTCAATTTCTGTATCTGTGTGCGGTCAGGACTAACTGGGTCAATCTTGGGAGACAGGCTTCCTTGACGTTTTTTTAATGAACTGGGACCCATGAAAGTACATTCATAGAACAGTATACGTTAGGGGAAGAGGAAGGGTGGGGGCTCATGTGTATACATACAGACTAGTTTGGCTGATGGATAGAGTATGCTGTGCAATTCTATATAACTACTGTATGGATGGTTTTACAAATATTTCACACCGACCTTCCAATGCAAAAGCAGGAAAGAGCATGCTTGTTGCAATTTTACTCTGAATTGTAACACTCTACAAAACATAAAAGAAAATAGTTGTCAAAACAGCAATAACACTAATGTTAAAAGCTGATGTTTGAAACAAAATTACATGATTTTTATACCTTTTGTATTACCTACTCAAATTTGCTCAGTTAGGAGTTGTGCCAAGTAGGAGGTATGCTGTGTGGTCTCTTTAATTCCCACTAAAACAAGTACAGCTTTGCTCACCTCTGCTTTCAAATGTCTTATTTGCAACTCTCACCGCTTGGCAGAGATCATGAACACACTTCTGGGGAGTTCTATGAATCATCTCACCTTTGTACACCACAGATGATTAGTATAATAATCCTTGTGTTTGATATGGCACTTTTCACACAGGGAGGACTTCTAAGGTGCTTCACAGGATTTACTGTAAAGTGTAGTGACTGTGTATTTTCTAGGTAAACGTGGCAGCTAATTTGCACACAGAAATGTCCCACAAACATAAAATGAGTGACCAATTTTATCAAGGGGTTGGTTGGCCACTACACAGTAAACCGTTTTCTCTTTTTCCAAAGTACCATGGGATCATCCATGTCCATCTCAACAAGTGGACAGGACATGCAATGAATGGACAGCACTTCAACAATACAGCATTCCCCAGCACTGTATTGGAATGTCAGACAAGACTATGTGTTCAAAAGTCCCAAAGTGGGATTTTGACTGACACCTATTTGATTGAGGCAAAAGTGCTGCTGTCTGAGCAAGGCGGTCAAGTTTACTGACAACTTGGGATATTCCTTCTATTTGTACTTATATAATCATGAATTTAATGACTAGAATTATTATTGTTTCCTTATAAATTTTGGATCAATTCAATCTGACATTGAAATGATAACAACAATCCTTGCATTTGACATAGCACCTTATCATGTCATCCTTTTGAATAGTGTCTTGGAATTGCGAACGTCCAACTGAACCAGCAAACAGGACCTTGGTTTAATGTTTCATTCAAAGAATGGCATCTCTGACAATGCAGCGCTCCTGCTCACTGTTTATTGGCGTGTTAGTCTTGACTCAAAGTCCCATTCAATAACAAGGAGCCATAAAAAGAAATAATCTGGGGGAAATTGGTGAAAGCCCATAACACCAACGCACTATGTTATCAATCAGACCCACACTGGCTAATGCAAGACAAATAAAGTATATTTTGTCAGAAAGAAAATTGAATTGGCCTTTTAGTGAACAAAAGCTTGGCACTTGAAACATGGGAGATAAAGATGAGAATTATTAACTTGTCATTTCAGTAAAGTGGATGCTATTAATGTAGTAATGGCCATTATGAACTTGAAGGGGGAAGTGGTTTTGAATCCAACTGACATTAAAATAACATTTCAGTTTTACAAAGGCTGGTATAAATTAAACCTTAATCTTGACACATTCAAATTAAGTTGTTTTGTGAAAAAAACATACACCAAAGGCCTCGTAGTAACAACCTCAGGCAGGAACAACTTCAAGGGTGAAGGCCAGCTTTGTGCACGCGTGTACAGTGATGTCACAGGCCACGCAGTCGGTAATGTCATGATACAGGATTGCTGACCAATGACTGCTTTTAATTGCTCCCCTCAATCCCAATTCCCTGCTCGTTGCACTTTATATGGTGGTGTCCTGTAGCTCAGTAGTTAGAGCACTGGCCTCCAAGTGAAAGACCTGGGTTCGATTCCAAGCAGGGCGAAACCTTGGGCAAGTTTCCTTACTCCACACACCTAATAATAATCCCTCAAGAAAAAAAATAATAATTTGGTCACTTCAATCCACGACTGTTTGTGGGACACTGCTGTGTGCAATTGGCTGCCGTGTTTCGCCCACAAATATACAGTCAATTCATTTTACAGTATATTCTGTGAAGTGTTTTGATACGTCTAGAAGACGTGAAAGGCACTATATCAAATGCAAGAATTATTATTATTATACTGTTGCTCTTGAAATTATAGAATCTTACAGCACAGAAGGAGGCCATTCAGCACATCGTGCTTGTGCTGGCTCTTTGAAAGAGCTATCCTACTAGTCCTACTCCCCTGCTCTTACCCTGCAATTTTTTTTCCTTTTCAAATACCTATCCAATTTCATTTGAAAGCCTCTATCAAATCTGCTTCCACTACTCTTTCAGGCAGTACATTCCAGTTTCCTTTTTAGGTGTTAGATGCAAAGGTTATTAATTATTATTATTATATTACTTGCACACAAAGGCACTGATGAATACCCAGTAATTATCCAGACTTTATGTATTTTAACATTTTCCACTTTTAAATTCATTACTGTCTTACTTTGATGCTTTTCATTAAGAGACTATTCATCTGCTGGAACATAATTTGCATTTGTATTTGACTGAATTGCACTTGATGTCGCTGAATAGAGTGTTTCACATGGAATTGCATAGCCTGTTTATCATGGAAACAAAACATTTAGACCAACTAGTCCATACCAATGCGTATACTCCGCATGAACCTCTACCCCTTTTAATCCCATCAAACATGCCTTTATTTTCCAATCTCCTTCATGTATACATATAAATAATCCTTGCATTTGATATAGTGCCTTATCACGTCATAAGCGCTCCGGGACTCTGCCCCACGTGAAGGGGGAACTGAACAGTCATGGATTGAAAATGACCAATTTACTATTGTTTTGTTTTGGAGGGATTATTATTAGGCGTGTGGAGTAAGGAACTTGCCCAAGGTTTCACCCTGTAAGTGAAACACCTGAAAAACAAACAAAATTACAGTTTTGACTTTGCACTACGAATATTGGAAATTAATTGGAAATTAAAAACACTCCTTAAATCGCCTCGCAAGCGAGAAGACCTGGGTTCAATTCCCGGGTATTGCGAAAAGTTGGGCAAGTTTCCTTATTCCACATGCTTCTATTTGCCTAGCAGTAAGTAGGAACTCAGTTGTTAGTCGATTGGCGGATTGCTTTTCTGGGGGTAATAATCTCTTCAAAACAAAAAAAATTATTTGAGGAATAGCACCTCATTTATCTGCTAGGGACATTACAGCCCTCTGGCCTCAATATTGATTTCAATCATTTCAGACCATAACAGCTTACTCCGCAATCTGTTATATGTTTCAATATTCTTGCAGCATAACATGAGCAAAATTTAAAATGGACTCAATTATGTACCCCTTTTAAAAATAAATCAAATGTTTCACCTGGAAGCTCATGCAGAAATAACTGAGGTCAAAGAATTATGCTGGTATGATCAGAGAGTCTAAATCATTGATTCAAATAGAAATTATTGTGTTATGCAAGACTGTTGAAGAATGGCTGTTGAAAAGTGACTCAGGAGGAAGAAAGAACTGGACGGACAGCTGAAGCAAATTGAGAGAACAATGAACACAAATAGAAGTCATTGGGAGATGGAAATGAAGAGGTGTAGAGAAAACTGAGTAAGAAAAACACTAGTCGTCATGTTTGTATTGCAGTGATGCTGTAGTCTATTGTAGTGCTAAAATATAAGCAGAGCAGTGTTGATGCCTCTATAGGCAGTTACCACCACATCTCAAGGTGGGTCTTCACTCCCCTTTGGAAAATAACAACACTGGAGACAGCAGGAGACTGACTCTTTGCTGATTGCCATGTGTTTTTGGCTGCAGATTGGCTTAGCTCTCATGTACTGTATAGACGAGCAATGTGGTGTTTCCGGCGCTGGCCTACATCAGCCTTCCAGGGTGCCCAGAAAAGTAAAGTCAGGACGGACTTGGAAACACATATTTTGAGGCCACCCCCATTCACTTGGATTCACTTCAGCACTAGTACTATTCAGGGGTTACATAACTGGATACAACTAGATCCTTACCCCCTCCCCACCGGCACTGCACATTTACAGAAAAGTTTGTGAAACACTTTGAGATGTTTCAATCTATTGAGTACTATAT